TTTTTTTGAGAGAGGGAAAAACTGGAAGAGCCAGGGAAGGAGTGACATCCAAAAAGTAATGTACTCTTTACCTGACTATGTAACTGTAACCCCTCTGTACATCACCTTTATAATAACAATAAAAACATTTAAGTAAATTTTGGCCCATATACAATATAGAATTAGCTAGTCTCACAGTGTTTAACATCAGCCAGGTTCCGGTGGCTCACGCCTATAATCCTAGCTATTCAGGAGGTTGAGATCTGAGGATTATAGTTCCAAGCCAGCCCAGACAGCAAAGTCCCTGAGACTCTTATCTCCAATAACCCACCAGAAAACCAAAAGCGGCACTGTGGCTCAAGTGGTAGAGAGCTCGTCTTGAGCTGAAGAACTGAGGGCCAGTGCCCAGGCCCAGAGTTCAAGCCCCAGGACCAACAATAAATAAATTAATTAATTAAATTTAAATGTTTAATATCACTAAGGAGACATTTTTTTATTGTAGTTGAAGTGACTTGTAGTTTACAAAGCATGTGTGCATTCTTTGGGAAGAAAGTAGACAAGATCATTTGAGTTGTTTCAGGTAATAAGGTAGAATTGAATGATAAATCATTTGGGCTGTATATATAAATGGACTGTGTCACAGCTAAATTAGTCACAAATGTCCAGTACAAGCCAACCTCAGGATAGATAAAGGCTATAAATCAGTGTTCCTTTATAATCAGCTCTGGTGTGTCTGTAAGCAGGAACATAATTCTATGGTTACAATCAACAAAATATTATGTCAGCCTACTAAGCTCAGTAAAACCCTTTTCTCTAAGTTTTGTAGGGTTATCATAGGAGCCAACTGTTCAACTTAAAATATGATTACAAGCTAACACCTGTAATCCCAGCTACTCAGTAGGCTAAGATCTGAAAATCACAGTTCAATGCCAGCCCAAGCAGGAAAGTCTGTGAGACTCTTATCTCCAGTTTGAAGGATCGACTCCTCCCCCTCCCCCCCCCCACACACACTGTTACCCCAGGTGTGCATGGATGTGCTTGAAACAGGCAGGGCAATCCCATCTGAGCCTGGCGATAAACATTCTATTGTGGGCCTAGCCTGTAAGGCTCTGAGGCCGAGCTGTGAGGCCAGGAAAGTGTTAAAGAGATTGAAAGAGAGAACTGAACCCTGTGAAGGTCAAACCTTCTAGGCAAAACAGATGTAAAGCTGTTTGAACATTTAAAAAAAGCTGGAGAAGCCGAGCGCAGGTGGCTCACAGCTGTAATCCTAGCTACTCAAGAGGCTGAGATCTGAGGATTGTGGTTCAAAGCCAGCCTCGGCAGAAAAGTCTGAGACTCTTATCTCCAATAAACCACTAGAAAACCGGAAGTGGTACTGTGGCTCAAGCGGTAGAGCGCTTGCCTTGAGCTGAAGAGCGCAGGGACAGCTCCCAAGCCCAGAGTTCAAGCCCCATGACCGACAAAAAAAAAAAGCTTGAGACCTTGAATAAGGAAATGCTTACCCTAGTCTTTGCCCGTGTCTACAGTAACCCTCCTTCCCTTATACTAAACTCAAGTAACCCTTGTTCCCACGCTCAGACTCTATAAAACCCCTGATTCACCCCCCATCCCCTTATCAGCTTCACGGGGTGGGGGGATGGGGTGGGAAGTCTGGGCTCCTTACTGTTGTACCTCAATAAACAGTCCCAGACTGTTGAGAACGGCGTCTGGCTTTTTCCTTTTCCTTTCTCTTCCATTTTTCCAAACACATTTAATCACCAAAAAGGCTGGAAGTGGAGATGTGGTTCTTAGTAATTAGAACCCTAGCCTTGAACATAAAAGCTCAGGGACAGCGCCCAATACCTGAGTTCAAGATCTAGTACTGACACCAAAAAAAAGAAAAAAAGGGCAGTTAAATAGAAACATACATACATATATATTCATAGGTACATTGGTAGATACATAAAGAAGGAAGGAGAGAGAAGGGAGGCGGAAAAGGGAAGGAAAGAAGAGAGGATGGATGAAGAGAGGTGAGAGAAGATAGGAGGGGGGAGAGAAAGGAGAGAGGGAGAAAGTAGAGAAGAGGGGAAAGAAGAGGAGAAAAGAGGGGAGTTAGAGAGACTGGAGGGGAGAGAAGGGGAAAGGGGGAAGGGCAAATTCATCCCAGTTTCTAGCTGCAGTTGCCTTGGAAACTGTTAAACCAGAGAAGGGCGCTTGAGGATTGTGACGGCAGCGTGATGGCGTCACAGAGGGGAGGGTAATTATCAGTGCTTGGTCCTGGAGCCGCTTAGACCCTTGCATGAGGCCTCCCAGCACGGTTGCTTTCCTAAAGTTGCTAGCAAGAGCACAACCCGGAACTTCGTGCCAAGAAACTGCTGAGCCCACCGCATAGATGACAACACTTTCGAGTCCTCTTGCATCTCAGGCTGTACAAGAGGTCACCAGCCAGGACCTCTCCCAAATAACAAGTACCCTTTATATCAGTAATGGTGCCGCTGCCAATAACCAACAAGTGCTGTCTAGCAATCGCATCACATCAGTGATCAATGCCACAAAGGAAGTGGTGAATACCATCTTCGACAACATTCGGTATGTACAGATACCCGTGGAAGATAGCCCCACGGCCTACCTCTATACGTTTTTTGACCCAGTTGCTGATCACATCCATAACGTAGAATTGAAGTTTGGCCGTACCCTGCTACATTGCGCTGCAGGAGTGAGCCGCTCACCTTCACTCTGCATGGCATACCTCATGAAATATCATTCTATGTCCCTGCTGGACGCCCATACCTGGACCAAATTGTGCCGCCCGGTCATCCGGCCCAACGATGGCTTTTGGGAGCAACTTATCTATTATGAGTTCAGGCTGTTTAATAAGAACACTGTGCGCATAGTCAACTCCCGGAGGGGTTTGATTCCCAGCGTCTATGAAAAAGACTGCTAATTGACGATGTCCTCTAGCCCGCCCCAGACATCTACATCTATGAATTGAACTCGAACTTTGCTTGTAGATGGGAAAAAAAAGAGGGAGGGGGCGGGGGGAGAGGCTTGGGAGCTTTTAAATGCATGCAGTAAATCCTGAGAAAAATAAAATTCAATGAATGTAACAATGCGAAATGTTTTCTTACCTGGTTGGTAAGGGGAGATCAGGCTGCTGAGACCTACTGGATGGGGGTGAGGGAAATGATGCCCAGATTACATGGATCTGACTGTAGTACCAAGTAGAATCCTGAGCCCTGCCTCAGGCTGGCTAACCCAGACCAATGTCAGAGTGTTTGAGATGATGGAATCTCCAATTGAATAAATGACCTTCAAATCTTCTGATGAGGTTCTTGATCTCTGGGGGAGCCAGCCTCAAGCTACCCTTTCCTCCACCTCAACCACAGTAGCCCAACTCTAGTTTACTAATATATATTTTTTAATGTACTGCTGGTCCTGAGGCTTGAACTCAAGGCTTGGACTCTGTCCTTGAGTTTCTTTTGCTCAAGGCTAGTGTTCTACCACTTGATTAACAGCTTCACTTTTGGCTTTTGGGTAGTTCATTGGAGATAAGAGTCTTTCATACTTTCCTGCCCTGGTTGGCTTTGAACTATGATCCTCAAAGCTCAGTCTCCCGAGTAGCTAGAATTACAGGCATGAGTCACCAGTGCCAGTCAATATTTTGAAGAAACGATTTCTAAGCCAGGCACTGGTAGCTTATGCCTATAATTCTAGCTTCTAGGAGGCTAAGACATGAGGATCACAGTTCAAAGCCAGCTCAGGCAGGAAAGTCCATGAGACTTATCTCCAACTGATGACTAAAAAACAAAAGTGATGCTATAGATCAACTGGTAGAGTGCTAGCATTGAGCAAAAGAGCTCAGGAACAGCACCGAGGCCCCGAGTTCAAGCCCCATGACCAATCAAAAACAAAAACAAAACAAAAAAAACAGGGCTGGGAAGGCAGCTCAGTGGTAGAGTGCTTGCCTTGAATGCATGAGGTCCTTGGTTCGATTCCTCAGCACCACATAAGCAGAAAAAGCTGAAAGTGGGGCTGAGGCTCAAGTGGTAGAGCGCTGGTCTACAGCTGAAGAGCTGGGGGACAGTGCCCAGGCCCAGAGTTCAGGCCCCACAACCGACAAAAAAAAAAAAAAAACCCTGTTTCATCTATAAAGCTTAAAATATTTTTTAAGCTTTGACAGATAGGAGATGTTTTCACCAGCTTCTGCAAAAAGGGACATTAGATAGCCGGGCGCTGGTGGCTCATGCCTGTAATCCTAGCTACTCAGGAGGCTGAGATCTGAGGATCACGGTTCAAAGCCAGCCCGGGCAGGA